CGAGAACAGCTGCCCCTACTACGCGGCACGCGCGGCGCTCGACGAGGCGCAGCTCGTGTGTCTGCCGTACCCGTCGCTGCTCAACTCGGCGACGAGGCAGGCGCTCGGCGTCCGGCTCGGCGGCTCGGTGGTCCTGATCGACGAGGCGCACAACCTCATCGACACCATCAACGAGATGCACTCGGTCACGCTCTCTGCTCGCCACCTCTCCGAGTGCTCCGCCCAGCTGGCGCAGTACGAGGAGCGCTACTCCGGCCGCCTCAAGCCGTCCAACCGGACGATGGTGCGCAGGCTCCTCTTCGTGGTCCGCGCGCTGCGAAAGGCGCTCACGCCGCCGCGCACTGCGAACGGCGCCGCCGCCGCCGCCGCGGCAGTGGAGCGGATGATCCACGTCAATGCCCTGCTGAGCGTGTACGACCTCGACAACATCAACCTTCTGGAGCTCAAGCACTTTTGTGAGAAGTCGTTGATTGCAAACAAGCTGCAGGGCTTCGCCGAGAAGAGCCAGCGCGCGGCGGGCCCGGCGGGGCTCGCCGCGGGCGCGGGCGCGCATGCGCGTGACGCGCCGCGTGTCACTCTGCACCCCGTCATCGCTCTGCTCGAGGGCCTCGCCCACTCCGACAAGGACGCGAGGGTGCTGCTGCACGTCGAGCCGCTGCAGCCCCTCCGCCCGCCCGCCGCCTCCCGCCCCGACTCGTGGCTGCGCGTGCTCCACCTCAATCCCGCAACCTACTTCGCATCTGTCCTCTCTGAGGCGCGCCGCTGCGCCGCGCCGCGCGCTGCCCCATCCGCCTCCCCGGAGCCTTGCCGGCGCCCTCCTCAGGCGCACGCCGTCGTGCTGTGCGGCGGGACGATGCAGCCGTTCGAGGACCTGCGCCAGCAGCTCTTCACCAACCTGCCCCCCGGCCGGCTCCGCACCGCCGCCTACGGCCACATTGTGCCGCCCGAGCGGGTGGCGCCAGTCATCTTCTCTCGCGGCCCGCGCGGATCGCCGTTGTCGTTCTCGTTTGGCAGCCGCGGCGCACCCGCGCTGATGGACGAGCTCGGGGAGCTGCTGCTCGCGCTCGCTGCCACCGTGCCCGACGGGCTCGTCGTCTTCGTGCCCTCATTCCAGTACGAGGCGCAGCGATGGGCCGCGTGCCCCTGCCACGTCCTCACGCGTCCCACCGACAATGCCCGGCAGGTACGAGGCGCAGCTCGTCGCGCGCTGGGAGGCGACGGGCCTCTGGGCGAAGCTCGACGCGCTCAAGCGCACCTTCCGCGAGCCCCGTGCGACGGCCGACCTCGACAAGGTGTTGAGCGAGTACGCCGCCACCGTCGCGCAGCGCGGCGGCGGCGGCGGCGGCGGCGGCGGCGGCGGCGGCGGCGGCGGCGGCGCGCTGCTCCTGTCGGTGGTGGGCGGCAAGATGTCCGAGGGGATCAACTTCTCGGACCGGCTCGGCCGCTGCGTCGTGATGGTCGGCTTGCCGAACGCGAACCCGTACGAGCTCACGCTGCAGGAGAAGATGGGTCACCTCGACGCCGTGCAGGGAGTGGGCGCCGGCCGGGCCTACTACGCGAACCTGTGCATGAAAGCGGTCAACCAGTCCATCGGCCGCGCTATTCGCCACCGGGCTGATTTTGCCGCCATCGTGCTTGCCGATGCGAGATTCGTCAAGCCGACCGTCCGCTCCAAGCTGCCCGCGTGGATCGAGCGACGTGTCGAGGCGCCGGACTCGTTCGAGGGGTCGATGGCGGCGGTGCGCGGATTCTTTGCGCGCTTTCCCGACCCGTGAAGGCAAGGCGTCGAGAGCGGCCGTGTGCGCCGCCCAGACTCGACGCAAGCGGCATGCTGAATAAACTACGTACTGTGTTAATTGTGTAGACTGTAGTTTTGTACCCCCGCTGTCCAGCCGCTGTCCACACATGTACATGTACATATGCTGTATGTTTCTCTACTGTGTTTCTCGACTGAGTTTTTCGACTCTGGTATGTTGAATTTTCTCGTGGCTCGTGTGTCGATGGCTGGCAACCGCATTTTCGGGGGTCTCTCGCGCATGGGGTCAATCCTTTTTTTTACGGTAGTCCACGACTCGTCGTCGTCACTGGGCCTTGCACTTTGAATGCCGTGGGGCTCCTGTCATTAGACGTGGAGACGCGAGGGTCGCCCCCCCTTGCCCCACCACCTCGTGTGTGTGGAGAAGTTTACCTTACCTTACCTTACCTTAGCGTTAAAGTAGCCGGGCTCCGCCCTTTCTGGATTCTGCCTTTGTGTCCGAGCCGCTATCTCGTCACAGTCATCACGGCGTCCTAGCTTCAACACTCGCCGCAGCAGGTGAGCTTCTTCCCCTGCCTTTCTCCAGGCGGAGTCCTCCTTAGCGAGGCGGACCGCACGGTCGACGATCGCTTCCAGCCGCGTCTGCTGCTCTGTGAGTTGTCGCCTCGCCGTCGCACAGCTTGCGCCAAGGAGGGAGCAACAGCCGATGCCGTGACGCGCGACGCTTGCATCTGTATGGTGAGTCTCGAGCGCATCTGCGAGGGATCCAATGATTTGGGACGGACCTTCGCATGCGGCGTCGCGGCGGGACTGGCACTTGCATAGCCACAACCTCAGGTCAGAGAGCAGCACCCTGCAGACGGGCGCCGCCGGAGAGCATCCAATCTGCAACACTTGGGCGGCGACGTGGCGAGCCTCGTCAGTGTCGCTCGTGGTGGCATTGGCCCGCGCAGCGCACTGATGCTCGAGGGTAAGCATGCCCCAGTGAGCTGCCTCGAGCCGCAGGCGCCGGAGAGCAGCGGGTGCGAGCTCCTCAATCGCTGCCTCCCCGTCGCCAAGCCAAGCCAAGAGGCTGGAGATGGTTGCGGCGTCGCGATTAAGTACGAGCTCGAGCTGGCCCGGGGGTGGGCCGTCCCCAAAAAAGGCAGCCGCCGTGGCGTCACCGCTCTTGGTCGCGTCGTCGACGAGCTTTTTTACGAGCATGGCGAGGCCGGAATCAGACTCACGTTGCATGAGCACCTGCGCGGTGGTGACAAAGGTGGCCCCGCCTGCAATGAGATGCAGCCGTGTCTGCTGTCCTGCTTCGGCTTCGACGGCCCTCGTACGCGACGCTCTCCACGCCTCCTGCTCTCGCCGAAGTTCGTTTGCAGCTCTCAAGACCTCAAATTCCTTTGCAGACAAATCGGCCCGCGTCTCCTCCACCTCACGATCGAATTGAGTGCGGCGAGCCAGCAGCGCTTCTGAGTCCGCCTCGAGCACAGTCACTGCGCGTGCCGCCGCCTCGGCCAGCGCAGACACCTCCGTCGTCATCGCGCCCAAACGTTTCACTTCGATCACACCACTCCGACGCGCTCGACTCTCGTGTCTAGTCTTCGGGGACGTGCCCCCCCGGGAAAATTCGTATATATCGGGAAAGTGAGCGACGACTGGAGCAAATTGCACACTTCCCCCGCAGATCGCCCTCAGTGGGGAGACTAGTTTTGGTTCGCGCCGGCGCGCTCGTTGCTCCTCCGTCTCTTTTCCATCTTCCTTAATTGCAGTGGTTTGTTGAAGATTGACGAGGTTTCGCGGATTGCCCACGCATCGGACGCACGTGTTTATGGAGTTTGCCTCCGTCTGCACATCGCTCGCCGCCGCAGTTCCATCCGCCCGCCTCGATTGCTCCTCCGTGTACCGAAATGCAGTCGTCGCCCTCTTCCCGATCTGTCCTTCAAGCCGTCCTAGCCACGCTGGTCGTGGCACTCACAAACCTTCTGCTCATGTTCGCAAACTGGCTGCTGCGCTGTTGTCTTCAGCTACGACCGCCTACGGCAAAGCGTACCACCCGCACACATGCCTTGCATTGTGAATACCACTGGGCTCTGTTGGTGATGTATGGTTCGGGGCAGAGTCCAACTTGCCCCACACTATCGTGTGTGACACACTGGCACCTTGCCTTCCCTCCGCAGGTCGACCCGGCGTGGCCGCGGCCGTCATCCTATCCCAGGACTGTCCCCGCGGTCCTCACGCCCGAGGAGACGGAACTTCTTGCCAAGCTGTACTGGACCCTTAGAGCCCGCAACTTCTACGGCCGGGGTCGCGTCCCGTACTACTCGCTGCTCGAGCACATGCGCCGCTTTGAAGAGCCGAAGCTCGCGGGGATCGTCGAAAAGCTCCAGGCGATAGCAACCAAGATTTGCGGCGGTAGAGTCGTGATGCACAACGACTTTTGGTCGATGCGCGCCCACGGATCACTCAGCCCGTTCGAGGCGCGACACCGCGACGACGACTTTTGGCTCACGGGCTACGGGGGCGGTTACGGAGGCGTCAACCTGTGGGTGATGCTGCAGCAGGTGGATACCCCAAGACACTTTTGAGACCCGCCCCCCGCCTCACGCGGCGCCCTCACATCTCTCAGTCGCGCGCGCCGTGCTCGTTTGCGGTGTACACGCGCGAGAAGAACGAGGCGGTGTACGCCGAGACGCCCGATTGCGCTGCCGTCTTCGGCGCTTGCAAAACCACACGCCAGGCCATTCAGCGGAGAGGCCCTTCAGCCCGTCTATATGAGACGCCATTGACACGTCCACGACATGTTAAGGCCCGAGTGGTGAACGACCCTGTCAGCCCGATGGGCTGCATAGCCGAGCCGGGCGGCGGGTGCTGCGGGCTCGGCGGGCTCGCCCTTGCGCTTTGGAGGCTGCGCGCCCGCCTGATCCGGCGGCTGCCTCTGTGGGTGGTGCGGCGTGTCCTCTGCGAGAGTGCGAGCACCGTCGCGCTCGCGTGGGTCGCTTCACGCTTTCGGATGCAGCCCGGAGACTGCCTCGTCGTGCGGCAGGCCACCTCCTCTCCCCCTCCCGCACCGTCGGCCCCGCTTGCGCCACCCCTATCACCGTTGCACCGTACCTCTGCCCGCGAAGGACGAATGGCACGCGAGCGAGCCCATCCCCGCTGAGGAGGGCGAGATGCGCCTCGCCATCGGCTTCAAGTTTGTACGCCAAGGCGCAGTGGTGGGCTTCCAGCCCCTGTCGCCTTCGACGGCGACGCGCCGCCAGCTGGGCCTCGGGCTGCGCCTGGGCAAGCAGCTACCCGAGTGGTACCGCCGGGGCGTGGGTCGTCAGACGAAAGCAGTGCACTCGTTCTCCGAAGAAAAGCAGCAGTTTGGGCCCCTGCTGGCCCATACACACCAGGCCCGGTGAACGACTTCCCGCTGGGGGGTACCTCGCTGCAGGGGCGGGCCAGATTGCTGCTGTTCTCCGACATCAATGAGAGACTTGAAAGCGGTGAGCGTGCGAGAGCTTGCCCTGGACCGGGCGTCTGGTGGAGGGTCCACACACTTCCAAGTCTATGGGGTGGCCGTGGAGCGTGTGGACGGGAACGCGCGCATCTGGGAAGAGCCCCCGAACCCACACTGGGGACACCCCGCTTGGGACGCAAGAATTTTTTCCATCGCAACACTTAGCGCGCTGCGCGCGCGCCACAGTGGCGCGCCAGTGTCCCCGTGCTAGTGTTCGGTGAGACAGAGGTGCGTGGTAACATTCTTTCCTCACAGGAGTCGCTTAGGCGGCTCCCGTGGTGTACCTGTGTTAGTGCCAGTGCGCGCCAGTCCCGTGCCAAGTGTGAGCACTTGAGCACTTAATAGGGTCGATTCCGCATGGTACGCGGCGCGGCCGCCCCTCGATCGTCTCGCCCTCCCTCACTGCAGCAACGGGCGCGCGAGATCACGGCTGCCTGAAGAAGATTTGTCGCTTCTTGTGCAGCTCTGCCCTCTCCCGCTCGCGATCCCGCTCATACTCGAACAGGCCCTTTGGCTCTGCCTGGAAAACGCCCGTCGAGACCATCAAGTCATGAAACTCGCATAGGTTCAGCTCACCGTCGCCGTCCACGTCGTGCTCCTCCACGAGGTTCTGCAGCTCCCTCTGATCGAGGCCGCATGCGCCCGCTGCCTCGAGCTCGGCAACGCAAATGGAGTTGGACCTGTCCGTGTCATACATGCCGAAGAGGGCAGAGATCTCAGCGCCTGCCACCTCTGGCACCTCTGGCGGTCCATTGCTCTTCCTTGGAGCGACGAGGGCGAGGCACCGTTGCACGTCCTGCTCGCTGGCCTCGGGCAAGCACAACCGCAGCAGCTCGTCAAAAGAGACCGCACCGTCCTGGTCCGAGTCCATCACTTGAAAGGCCAACAGAGCGATGCCCTCGGCCGACTGCTCTGCCGGCGACTTGTACGATTGGCCTCGCGGCCTCGTCTGGTCTCTGAACCGCTTCAGGGCGGACGCGAGCTCGCTCTGCGAGACTCGGCCGTCGCGGTCGCGGTCGAACTCGTCGAAGATACGCTTGAGGAGGAGCACCTCCTTCCTCGCCTGAGATGGCAAGGGAGCGTGAGCATTGGCATCTGCGATTGCCCTGCGTTGGGAGTGGGCCATCGAACTCGCCTTCAAAGGGTTGCGAGCCGACCTCGGCTTGGTTGCGTTTGGTGCCTGCCGCCTCACAGCCAAGGGCGATCTGACGTGCCTCGTCGACGGCCGCGCTTTGCTCGACATGTCGGTGGCGCGAGGGAGTAGTCGGGGTGCTCGCGTTGTTATCGTTTCGGCCAACTCGGGTCGGCTCGGCGACGGCTGTTAGACGGCGACGGCGTGACATCGGCAAGAGGGGTGTGTCTGCTCGCATTCTAGAACCCTGCCAGCCCACCCCTGCCCCCCCGCAGTCCCGTGTCCAGTCACATTCAGAGTGGGCAGTGTTTGGGTGTGTCTCCGAGTCCCTGTGCCTGTGCCGCACATGCGAACAAACACTATAATGTGTGTATGTAGGACTAAACACCAAACCATCTTTAAAAAAGAAATACGAATGGCCATAAGGACTTATCAGGACCGCACATCGCGTCCCGTCCCGGTTTGTCTCTAGAAAGCGCGTCGGTCAAACTTTTCCCCCGGCGACGGCGACTCTGATCACAACCGAACATACCGAAACCATGCTGCACACCCTCGTGTTCGCCCTCTTGTGCCTGCCGTCCGCGGCACTCCGCTCGGCGCAACCTCATTTGCGTCCGCAGCCGCGCTTCCAGCGCTCACGTTGTGCACAAGTTGTGCAAAGCGGTGGGGGTGACAACAGCGGGGTCAGCGGTGGCGCGCTCGCCGATTTCGACTGCGCCGCCGGCGTGACATAGCGGCATGTGTCTGCTCGCCTTCCAGAGCCGGCGGTGTACTCGCATAACACATCACATTCAGAGTGGGCAGTGTTTGGGTGTGTCACCGAGTCCTGCCTGTGCCTGCCACACATGCATGCGAACAAACAAACACACACGTGTGACGTGATTGCGCGACTTCTCTCGATGTGCGTGAGAGAAGAAGTCTCTAGTGTCTTACAGAGGGAAAGGAAATACAGTTTCGTGGCGAAAAGGACTAAACACGAGCAGCCGCACATCGCGCTCCGGAAAGTTTGAGCGCCGATCGCGCTCTAGACTTGTCTCTCTCTAGAGCTGCCAACAACCCCCTCCCAAACCTGTGCGTCTCCAAGTATCCAAGTTGTTAAACTTGCTGCACGCTCGTGTTGGTGGCGGTTGTGACCGACCGAGCCACGAGAGGAGCTTGTTCAGCGGGATCCGGGATAGTCTGGTGCACTTGCCTCACTGGAACCAAGTGTATTTAAAATAAATGAACAAAACGAGGGGGGTGGGAGAAGGACAGGGTCCCCACCTGCACGAGCAGGAGTCTCCTGGAAGTGCCGCATAGGAGAGGGGGGGGGGGGGGGGGCTCGCGCGTGCGCAACGAGCGCCGATGACACGGTCACTCGTCACAAAAACGCGCCTGAGTTGCCTGCGTGTCGCAAGTCCCGCAACTTGGCAAGTGAGAAGTGTGTGCTGTGATGCGAGGTCGGCGCTCGCGCTGCGCGCCGATTCGCGCAGACTGACTGCGCCAGGACTGACGTGACTCGTGCGCGTCACCGGGCGCCGTCAGCGTGAGACTGTGAATGAGTCTGTGCGTCCGACTGTGTCCACCTGGGTCGTGGGTCTGCTGACTGGCCATACACAGTCAGCCAGTCAGTGTTACACACCTCCTAGCATGGTGGACGGGCCCACACGCACACACACGCTGCACACGATTGGCTCGGGAGCCGACACGAGGGCAGGCACACTGTCACCGGCCGTAGCACCGGGTCCGGACTGCTGGACACACAGCACACAGCTCACAGGACAGCTCACGAGGTGACGCTATGTAATGGGGTTCTGGACTGACGCGGGAGAAGGTGGAGCACAGGGACAGGGACACAGAACTCACGAACTGACATCCCACCCCGCGCCGGGGGCGGTGGCGCGCGCGAGCGCCGGGGTACTTTGGACCCGCAGTCTGGCCATACACATAATTTGGAGGGATGCCGCGAGCTGAGATGAGAGCGACACGCTGAGGGAGGGTGTAGAGGATGTAGAATGTAGAGCGCTGTAGAGATGTAGAGATGTAGAGCGCTCTGGAGCGCTGTAGAGCAATGTAGAGCTGTAGAGCTCTACATCCGCCGCGTGACGAGGCGGGTGGGTGCGTTGTAGAGCGATGGAGCGCGATTTTGTTGTAGAGTTTGTCGTGGAGGCTCTACAGCCAAACCGCCGGGAAGGCAGTAACTCAAAGAGGTCGAGTCGCACTAATGGGGTGTCTCCGAGCTTACTGGAGCTCTGATTATCACTGACACACAGAGAGTCCCTCTGACGGCACACAACACCCTATGATTGCGTCATGACCAGCCTGCCATGCGTCGCCGGTGGCGCATTCGTCGCTGTGCTTCTTTAGCAGGCGGTGGACTGTCGGCTGCGAGGACGGTCGCATTTGCGCGAGGCGAGGCGAGCATTCAGACGCGTTGCATGCGCCATGCCTCGCGCCAGCGCGTGCGGGAGCTCCTGGCTGAGCGTTGAGTCCAAGCGAGTTGCGCTGGCCACGATCGCTACGACGAGCCGAGCTGACGCGCCGAGGCGCCGGCCAGCCGCAGCCGTGAGGCATGCCACAGCAGCAGAGGCACCTGCCACCCATTGGGCGGGCAGACAGAAGGCCAGGGCAGCACTGGCAAGTGCAACGCGCCTCATGTCGGAGAGCGACCGTGCCTCGTTCGCCGCCATTGTAGAGTTTGTTGTAGAGATTTCACGCGGTAGAGGGCCTCTACATCGCTCTACAACGCACCCGCCTCGTCACGCGGCGGATGTAGAGCTCTACAGCTCTACATTGCTCTACAGCGCTCCAGAGCGCTCTACATCTCTACAGCTCTACAGCGCTCTACACTCTACATCCTCTACACCCTCCCTCAGGCGACCGACACGTTGTAGAAGCCCGGGACGATCTTCACGTTTGAGGCGCCCCGACCGAGCCGCGTGCGCAGGGCGCGCGCGTTACGCGTCGCGTACGCCCAGGCAGCATGGAAGTTCTTCTGCACCCACTTCTCGTCGCTCGCATTCGGCACGCCCACAAAAGAGAAAGACTCATGCGGCACCGGCTCTACTAGCGAGGCGAATGACATAATTCGACACCCTCGACGACCATCTCGGCTACGGTTCCGACTCCGGCTCCGGCTGGTAGTCGACAAGCTGCCGAGCCCAAATCACTGTGTGTGACACATTTCTTGTTGGCTTCTAAAAATCTCTCTCAAATGAGTCGTAATGCAGTGCGAACGGGAACCACTTCAGCGGCTCGAGCAGTGAGCGGCCATTGGGAGAACGGGAGCGGGGAGCGCATCGCGACACGGAGGGGGGCTGGGCAGGGTTCACCCCTAGTTCATGAATTCTTTTCTCAGAGGTGACCTTCGCGGAGCACACCACCAGAGGCCTCCGCACAAGGGTGAACGCGGCGCGTTCGGTGGCGGCCGAACACACGCTCGGAGCATACAGAGCCCGCTCGCACCATCCTGCGCCACTGTGAGCGTGGCGCAATATGATCGCCAGCAGCGTGATTGTTCTCGGCCTCGTGCGCACGCCTCTCCAGAGCTTCCTGCCGGTGCTCGAGGCGCCTCCTGCCCGCCAGCCTCGCGTCCTCCTTCCTCACCGCATGAGCCTCGCGTTGCCGTCTTGCGCGGCTTCTGGCTTCTGGACGACGGCGGCGGCTGGCGGCTGCACCGGGCTTCTCGGCCAGCTCGGCTTTCAAGCACTCTTCGAGCGCTCATCGGACCCGGTGCTGAATCGGGCGGCTGGCAACACGGCGCACTCGCTTGTCGCTGCAGCGTACTGCCTCTTTGCGACCGTGTTTGGCGTCGCCGGCTGGTGCTTCAGCACCTTTGGCTGCACTTCGACCGCGGCGGGGCGAGTCTTGGCTCCGCTTGGCTGCGTGCGCTGGCTCGGCGCCTTCGCCTTCGGGATCATCGCTCTCTGGGACATACCAACGTGCTTTGCCGTGAAGGAGCTGAGAAAGCCGTCCTTCCTGCTGCACCATTTTGCGATGGCGGCCGTTGGCGGCCTGGGCGCCTACTACTGCCCGACCTACTATGGCCTCTTCTTCCTTGGAGTCGTCGAGGCCTCCTCGGTCCCGCTCTCCGTCTACGAGGGCCTTGAGCGTGCGAGCGAGATCGCCGGAGAGGGCACCTCAGCGGCGGAAGAGGAGCGGTGCGCTCGCCTGAAGCGGTGGCGCGACGCGGCGCAGGCAGTCGCCACGGCCGCCTTCCTCTTCACTCGGCTGTACCTCTTCACGCGTGTCACCTTTTTTGAGTTTTGGCCTGACGCGCTGGCCGTCCTGCCGACGATGGCGGCCGGCGGCGCCCGGAACACGGCGCCGCGTCGCGGGCCGGCGCGGGCGCGTAGATCCGATCACGTCTCACTCCGTCTGCTGAGGATAGGTCCGCTTCTTGCTGGGAGCCTCCGCCGCCTTTGTGGCGCTTCAGTTCTTCTGGTTCGGCCAGATCGTGCAGCAGGTGTTTGTCGACAAGTGGCTGGCTCGGAAAGAGGCGGCGTGAACTTGCCTGGTACTTGCGAGCTAGTGCACTCGTTCCGGTCTCTCTGATGGATTTCACGCGTATCTTCATTCTTCTGCCATCGGCGCGTTCCTCGGGGGCGTCGTACCGTATACCGGTATACGTCAGGAGGGAAAAGGGGAAACCGAGAGTGTTTAGAGAGTATCCCTTACCTTACCGCAGGACCTCCCATCGGAACCACATCCCGCGAGAAGAGCCAGCAAGAAATGACTTTAATGCAGCTTGCCACGCAGGTCTATTTTGTGAGACTGAAAGACTCTCTGAGCCGAGCTCCGAGCTGTGAGACACGAGAGGGTACTAACTGCGGCTTGCCGCAGCAACAACGCGCGCACAAAAAAGCACGACGCACGAGCAGCCCCGAGGCTTGTTATTTCTCCCTCCTGCCACAAGCAAGCATAAGAGACCGCGTCATGTCGTGTAGGAGTACTACTAACCGTGTCGTGCAGCTCATTGCTCCCACCGCTGCGTGATCCACTCGAGAGCGCGATGATGCACGGTCAGGGTGATTGCGGCACCAGGGATGCCGCGTCCGAAGGCCACCTGCCACCCGCGGTAGAGGCTCGCCACGCCGTCAATGGAGTGGAGGGCAGCCAACCAGCTGCGCCGCGGAGACGTCTCCAGGGGTTGGCTCTGCCGAGTTCATAAGCAGCGCGGTCAGAGCGTTGCTCGTTTCGCGACCAAATGGAGGGTGAGCGAGCAGGTGTGGTGAGGTGATCAGTTTCATGGTGGCGCACTCACTTGGATGCGACTCTTGATGCAGTCGAGCGGCAGCGCGACACACCAGAATAGCACGCCGGCGCAGGAGCCCGCGAGCATTAGCTCCCACGTGCGAAGCTGGTGTCGACCCCGAGTTTGTTGAAGCGCCTGCGTACATCATGCTGGTCACACCTGCAGAGGGCGAGGTGTGGCGTGCATATTGGACCTGAGTCATGTGGAAGAAGCCAGAAAAGTAGTTGGCCATGATGTACGCCG